CTAACACAGGTTTTCCTGCTTCTTTCTGGAATATAATTCTTTTATGTAGATATGAAACATACACATGTTATCAAATTGTTTTTAATGCTAATCACCTCCATCAACAAATGTAGAAACAATCAAAGGTGACAAAAATCCTTTCAAAAACAAAAACAGCATGAATGAATATGAATTTATTGACAGGTTATCAATCCATTAAAAAAATAACATATTTTTTAAGTTGACAAGTCAGTGAATTTATGAGGGAAGATGAACGCAATTGTTTCCTTGGCGTAACAAGATTCCACATCAATCAGGCAATCAGCCAGCAGGCTTCAATCCGTGTCAATCGGCCCAGTTGTGAGTGTGTAATTAACCCGTTTCTGTTTTGTGTGAATGTGATTCATAAAATTGTTTGCACATGTACATTCAATCATATGAAAGTTTCCATGGTGACTAGCCCCTCCCCATTGCTGATTTCTTTGAAGTCCTGTATCCATCAACATATTTTATGTTCCTAATTCCTCTGCCCTTCTTTCCCTGCAGATTGATGCACTCATAACTCTGAAATATGACTCACAGGAGATATGTTTTGTATGGTCTTTATGCTCACATTACCTTTGATAGATGATTTCATTTTCAAATTTCTCTTTCATACATAGATGTTGTTGTTTTTTGATAGTTTTAATCATTTATCAAATCCTTCTTTGTTTCAATTGACGTCAGCAGTTTTTTAAATACCCGTGGGTGTCACCATGAAGAAATTATCCAAAGTACATGATTTTTTGTTTAGGAATGTAACCAAAATGGGAATTGGGTGGCTAAAATGGCTGTTGAGTTTGAATAGTTCTTGGAATTATTGGAGTAGTGAATGTAGGTAGTGAATGAAATAACTCCAATCTGTACCTAACAGTTGGGTAAGTAGCTCTACCATATCAGTCCCTGGTCAGTCATGATGAAGGTGGCTGGTCAAGGTTGCTATATTGTCGTGTGACTTTCATGTATGATGACATACCATCAGTGTTCTATTTTAGGCATGAAAGTCAAGGGATTGTCATAGCGACTGATTTACGACACCCATTGTCTGAAGAACATTTAATTGCAAAGGCTCATTACCCTGGAGCCATGACATCTATATGCCTTGAAACACTTAATTGCTGTTATTTATAAGATGCTAATCCTATTTGTTAATCCCCATTTTTGTGTACATCGACCATTTGCCATCCTGAATGAGATGTGCAAGTATGTCACTGATGAATAACTGTTTATATTTATATTTTTACTTACTAAATGTCAGGTGACCTTGGCTATATAAGCCTTGGTCCAGAGAGATTGAAAAAAGAAAAAGAAAGGTCTTACCCTTAGCCTAGCTAGGGTTAGGCTAGGTGCTCCGGGGCACTTAGACAACAACCACTACCACTATGTGCTGACCTGGCACACAGTGTCTTTTGTATGTATATATCTACATGTATAAAGTAAAACTGTATATACCGCAAGCCATCGTCTCCAAGTTGTCACTTCCTACTGAGAACCATACGTCGGCCCCTTGCATATACGAGTATGCAAATTATTCATTAATCAACGTCAGACCAACACGTTGTTAGGATCCTTGTCATGATGCAAATGTTAAAAGTTGAGATTTGGAGGGTCCTTAGATTCAAGTACTATCATGGAAAACCTGGTGGACAGCATACCCCTTTATTTTCACTGTACCTTTATAACTTAATGAGTTTAATGCTGTGCTAGTTTAAAGCTGGACATGAGCCTCATCACCAAGTGCTTGTCATAATGGCTGATTCATTAAAAGAGAATTGGATGATCAGACTATGTAACCTTGCTGCCTATGGTTTTCTGGCCAGTCTTGATTGTTTCCTTGCCACCTGGATAATATAGCTGACTGTGGCGTAAAACAACATTTGTTTAGCTCTTATGACCCCGGGGGGATTCCAGATTAGAATTGGTTCCCATCCACTTACGCTGGAGGTAAGCGATGACTTACGGTCAGGCTTGGAAACTAGGTTGAATCATGCCATGCCATGTGGGTCATGGCTTCTAATATCACTAGACTAAATGTTCCCGACTTTACAGGCCAACTTCAGATAGCTAGAAGGGGGCACGGGTGGCCCAGTCGTCTAAGGCGCCGCAATTCACTGTGCAGAGTTGCATCCCTTCGGCACGCCAGAAACCTATGGTTGTTGGTTCGAATCCCGGGTCGCCCCGACTATGTTTCTAGGTTTGTCAGCACCATACCCGTGCTTGTGGGTTTCACCGAAGTGGTAAACGTCTAAGACCTCCATCACTTGGGGCTTTCCTCAGACATTAAGCTGACACGCCATGATATGACTGGAATACTGTTAAAAGGGGCGTTAACCCCAACCCACTCACTCACTCACTCAGATAGCTAGAATATTTCTTTGTGCAGCATTAAAAAAAGGGGGAAAGAAATTATTAACAGATTTTTATGTTAATTTACAGAATAATAAACAGCTAATAATGGTCTATCTATACTGAGCGTCCGCCCGGAGAGCGGAAGGTCCGGGGTTCGATCCCCGGCTGCGTCATACCAAAAGACGTTAAAAGATGGAACTTGTTGTTACCCTGTCTGGCGCTCGGCATAAAGGGGCTAAAACAAGGACTGGTCGGCTCGGAGTCAGTATACTGTGTCTGGGTGAGGTATTCGGGTTAAACTGCGGCATGGTATCTCAGTGAGCTAGCACTATAAATCGGCATCAGTCCGGACTAGTACAAGCAGCCACACACACACGTACATGCACGTCATTATATATGTGCAATAATCTTGGACGTGACATTAAACCCAATTTCACCTCACCTCACTGAACAAGAATGTTTAAGGATCATGAATATTTTTTGCAATATTTTGTTATAATTAAGACTGAAAACACAATTTTCACAAAAATGCCTCAAAAATATTCATAATCCCTAACTGTTTTTTTTGTTAGTGTAAGTAAACTATTATTATTAAAGTTGAAATGGCTAAAGTATGAGACTGCTATTAGGTGCATTAATCTTATACTCCTAATGATCCATTCCTCCCAGATAGTACCAAATTACCTAAATTGGATAACTTCCTATGAAAATAATAATAAGTTTCTTTCCTCTTAGTGTTTGTGGAATGATTGCAGCACTCTATGCCTTATAAAGAGGAGGCTGTGGTATGTGATGGGGAATTGACAAGGCAGTTAGACTATGAGTAAGGCTGCAGGAATGACACTTAATTGTCACATATTCATTGAAAGTGACATCTTGTACCAGCTCATATCCTGTGGGTGTTTTTTATGTTATAGCATTACTCTCCCCGGCTGGCTACTGACATACTGGTTAATAAGCATGGGCAATGAACTGTGTCAAGTTTACAATGATTTAATGCTACACATTCCTGATTGTTTTTAGAGCTTTTTTATAGTGAGTGTACTCTGTGATGCCCCATGGCAAATAGTGAGTGAGTGAGTGAGTGAGTGAGTATGGTTTTACGCCGCTTTTAGCAATATTCCAGCAATATCACGTCGGGGGACACCAGAAATGGGCTTCACACATTGTACCAATGTCGGGAATCGAACCCGGGTCTTTGGCGTGACGAGCGAACGCTTTAACCACTAGGCTACCCGACTGCCCTCCATGGCAAATAGGGCAGTTCAGTATTATAAAACATTGATTGCTATTTATTATCCAAATGCATAATTTTTTCTATTTATGATGACTTAATTGGCCGAATAAGATCTTTCTTCTATTCATGAGCCTTTTGCTCATGTGTTTTATTTTTATTTTTAAGTAGTTTTTGTGCATGGAAAGGGTGGAAGCATGATGCATTTCAACTGAAATGTTTGAAAGTATTTAAATGACAGTGACCAGTTATTTTGTGTACATCACAAAGAGGAATATAATTAAATGGAAAAAAAGAGAAAGTTGTTTCATTTTACTAATTTTTGTCTCTTCCAGTTTACATCTTTGAAATGGATCAATTATATTTTTCACTTGCCTCCACACATCAACAACATATTGACAACTTTCTATAACAAGTTAGTTCTCACTGAAGGCACCAGGAACACCTATCACACCAGTAACTTTTGATAATGAATTGTTATTACCCCAGAATAATTATTTATTTAACATGTTTACAAAGCACAAAGATTACTTTTGAAATGTTTGTGTGTAATTTATCTCTATCTTGTGGCCCTCCAACTTACACTCAGGATTTTCAACATGACAAAAATGTCATGGCGTTTGTATCAAACATCAAGCATCATGCCATCAGGATTTCTTTCCATTTTGCATTGGTTTTCACACAAGACAATGATTAACCGATAAGATGGCAGGACCTTTTAAGAAAACAGGTTCAGGATAATCTAAGAAATGAGCAAAACTTGATTTATAGATTGATATGAAAGTTATCAGATGTGTTTGAAAGAGAATAAAACTTTGTTCATTCCAACAACTGCATTTTTGGCGCTTATGACAACACTAAATGCATAGGTGAGGTACCTAAATTGTCAAAAAGGTTGATTTTACTATTTTTAGTGGTTTTCAGGGAGAGTTTTTCTCATTGAACATGAGCAAGTCTTTCACCTTAGCTGATTTTCTTCCAGATAAAAGCAGTGCAAACATTGGGTATAACATTCATCTTGAGTCTAAGAGTTGCCCATTGTTAGAATATCTCTTGAAGTTTGACAAAACATCCAATTTCACATATTTTAGCAATGTTTGTGTCTGAAGTCCAAACGTTGCTTGTGTCTGAAAGAAAACAGGTTACATATCAACTACTTGAACCTGACTGATCAGTTTCACAGCAGTATTTGACTTTTCCTGTAGGCCAAACAGCGATGTTATAAAATGAATCTGTGTTTTTGAGTGTTCTATATGTACAGTCTTTACAGTATTTCTCCAGGTTTACGGATGAAAAGGTTCAAGTCTAACAAGGATTACATGTACATATAATTTCCATGTTCAAGTAGTGATTGTAATCATTGTTTCTGTACTGCTATTGTCTCCCCTCTTATTAACAGGACACACATCCACGCTGTATCTGCAGCATCTGCGACTTCATGGCTGAGCACGCCTACATCATCAAACGACACATGATGCGACATAATGCTCAAGGCTGCACCTGCGATCTCTGTGGCAAGGTCTACAAGGTGAGATAACTCTCATAATATATAAAGGGGAAATAACCATCATAATATATAAAGGGGAGATAACCGTCATAATATATAAAGGGGAGATAACTCTAATATTATATAAAGGGGGGATAACTCTAATAATATATAAAAGAGAGTTAACTATCATGATATATTAAGGGGAGATAACTCTCAAAATACAACCTGATTAGATGATGATTAGATCACACTCAAGATATGTCCACACTCTGTCTGTGGTTGTGAAGAAGTGGTGTCCTCCCACTCAACCATCATTTTTGTGGAAATAGGTTTTTTTTCGTCAACCAAGGGAAGGTTTTGGTCAGTCCCATCCAACAGCTTGGAGTCATAACATCTTCACTTGGATAACAAGTGTCATTGCCCGGGGCTTTGATCAAGGGAACGTATCATAACTTCACAATTTATTTTCATAAGAAGGGATTGAGATATAGTATTAGTATAGATACTGACTACTTATGACCTGACCCCCAAGGTGATTGACAGAGATTTATGATAGAGACAGGCACAGGTATGATACTGTCAGCTTCACCTGTCAATATGGTCGTTACTCTCACAGGTATTTCATTATCTGGGCATCAGTCCAGCAGCTAAAACAAGTGTTAGATTGTCACATGGCACCTGGAACATTTCACAGATTCCAGACACAGTGTCCTCACATAAATCAGGGGCAAACAATTCAGGTGACAACATTAATAAATCGATATATATTGTAACGACAATGTTCACAATTTTGCACTTGGGATGCAGTGTCGGAATAGGTCCATGCCTTGTCATTAAGACTCAGTTAGAACTATGTGGTTACTGTGTGTGATCTGGGCCTGTGTCTGTCCTTGTACCTGCATGGTTCTTTGTTCATGCTATCAACCACAGGTTTGCCTTGCCCAGGGCACCCTGAGTGATATGCTGGCATATTGCTGACAGCCATAAAATAACATTCACTCACCAACTCAATGAAAGGTGCCAACTGGAAGATTTTGATGGAATTTTACTTTCTGTTTTGGTGATTTGTCTCTAGGAAAACATACAAATGTTATTTACATTAGATGAAAATTGTACTAAAGTATTTGTTATACTTCCTCAAAGTTTATTGTTTTTCAATAACCTTGATCTCTAGGATGATTGAAAAAAGAGTGAAGTCACCATACAGGTTACTGTAGAACATCATCCTATCATTGTCAGATTCTAGGTCAGTGCTTCCGTATATTAGCTGAATCTTTGATCACTCACTCACTCACTCACTCACTCACTCACAGGCGACTATGCTTGTCGTAAGAGGCGACTAACGGGATCAGGTGGTCACGCTCGCTGACTTGGTTGATGCATGTCATCGATCCATATTGCATAGATCGATGCTCATGTTGTCAATCACTAGATTGTCTGGTCCAGACTCGATTACTAACAGACAGCCGTCATATAGCTGGAATATTGCTGAGTGCGGTATTAAACAACAAACAAACAAACAAACAAACAAACAAACAAACAAACAAATCACTCACTCACTCACTCACTCACTCACTCACTCACTCACTCACTCACTCACTCACTCACTCACTCACTCACTCACTCACTCACTCACTCACTCACTCACTCACTTTGTCAGAGATTTCATCACTTGTATCCTTTCCATGTTTCAGGATCAGTACATTCTGAAGATGCATATCAAGATGGTTCATATGCCGGCAGAGGTGTTGTTTGAATGCACAGTATGCTCAAAGAAGTTTACACGGAAAGCTCACCTCAAACGCCACTTACGTATTCACGACCCTGAAAAGCCTTTCAAGTGCCCCCATTGCGAATATAGGTCAGTAACTTCAGATGCTGACTCAGCATTTAATGACTGATAACTATCATATGATTATCCATGTGTCAGCACATTAATTAAATGCCAGTGTGAATCCTGTCTGTCCCCTGTCACCAGTCTGGTCAGAGAAGGTCATCAGTACCCCCGTCTTGTTCCCTGTGTGGACAATATAGGTCCCCAGTACCGCTGACATGTGTCCCATGTGGATTCCAGGACAGTATTGGTTCCCTGTACCAGGGACCTGTATCCCATGTGGATTCCAGGACAGTGTTGGTCCCCTGTACCAGGGACCTGTATCCCATGTGGATTCCAGGACATATAGGTCCCCAGTACCCCTGACATGTGTCCTATGTGGATTCCAGGACAATATAGGTCCCCAATACCCGAGACCTATGTCCCATGTGGATTCCAGGACAATATAGGTCCCCAATATGCGAGACCTGTGTCCCATGTGGATTCCAGGACAATATAGGTCCCCAATATGCGAGACCTGTATCCCATGTGGATTCCAGGACAATATAGGTCCCCAATACCCGAGACCTGTGTCCCATGTGGATTCCAGGACAATATAGGTCCCCAATATGCGAGACCTGTATCCCATGTGGATTCCAGGACAATATAGGTCCCCAATACCCCATACTGGACAATATAGAATCCCAGTATACCTATACTTGTCTCCATGTGGAGATTCCAGGAAATACTAGTTTAATGTTTAATATATTCTATTAACGATTTAACACAATAGCATCAATAGGTACATCATTTTGTAAATAAATTTAAAGCAAAATCCATATTCACAAACTGTAGATATTCTCTTTTGGTTTCAACAATCCTTTGAATCACTAAGACCTGCCTTTGATAAGACATGTATTATGAATGTGTTGTAATCCCAGCAAAGGCTTCACATGCCAAGGTCATAAAGATGACTGAGTTTGCCATTTGTGATTAGAGAGAGTACAATTAATTGAGAATGTACAGACACAAAAAGTACCTCTTTGACAGCTCAAACTGCCTGAGTCATACATGATTGATGGCCTGGCCTAGGGTTAGAATTCTTTTCATTACACCGGTACTAATAAAGGCAACACAAAGCCCATATACAACTGTCACCCATCATTGAATAAAAAGAGCTCATCATTTGACATTCAATTTACATTTGTCATCTGGCGATTGTTGCACTCATTGAGGTCTTAGTCAGAATATCTGCTGTTATCAGTGTTGGAAATTAAAGAAGGGCCCTGGGGTCCTTGAGGCTTTCTGCTGAGTCTAGAGACCCCCTAACTTATCATGTCTTACCGGTATATATAAGGTTGTGAAAATGACCCCTTGCTTTCATGCATAAGTTGCAAGACTATCTAACGATTCCAAATTTGATTTTACTGTTGCTGACCTGCCAAGTGTGGTATAAATAATTGACTGTGGTATAAATAATTGACTGTTATCAGTGTTGGAAATTAAAGAAGGGCCCTGGGGTCCTTGAGGCTTTCTGCTGAGTCTAGAGACCCCCTAACTTATCATGTCTTACCGGTATATATAAGGTTGTGAAAATGACCCCTTGCTTTCATGCATAAGTTGCAAGACTATCTAACGATTCCAAATTTGATTTTACTGTTGCTGACCTGCCAAGTGTGGTATAAATAATTGACTTGTCGTAAGAGGCGACTAACAGGAAGAGGTGGTCAGGCTCGCTGACTAGGTTGATGCATGTCATCGATTCCCAATTGCATGGATAGATTCGCTGTGAAGGGTTGCGTCCCTTGGGCATGCCAGAAACCTATGATTTGGGGTTCGAATCCCGTTTCGCCCTGATTATGTTTCTAGGTTTGTCAGCACCATATCCGTGCTCGTGGGTTTCACCGAAGTGGTAAACGTCTAAGACCTGCATCACTTCGGGCTTTCCTCCCACATTAAGCTAAGGGCCGTGATATAACTGGAATACTGTTAAAAGCGGCACTAAACCCAGCTCACTCACTCACTCACTCAATTGCATGGATCACTGCTCAATATATCAATCACTGGATTGTCTGGTCCAGACTTGTTTTTTTTACAAACCACCTTCATTTTGCTGGAAAGTTGCTGAGTGCATCGTTAAACAACAAAGAAACAAACATAAATAATTGATGTGTTGGGATTGTGAGGCCTCAGGTGCAGCCTGTAGGGAGGGGTGGGTTGGTTTGGTTTCAGTTGTGATTGGTTGGTTGGCTTGGTGTTGGTTAGCTTGTATTGGGTAGGGATGGTTGGTTGAGAGTGGGGTTATTTGGTTGAAGATGGATATGGTTTGTTTGTAGGTTTGTGGGGATTTAATTGGTTAAAGGTGGGGTTGTTGAGGGAGGGGATGGTTGGATGAGGATGGCTGGTTAATTCTTTCACATTTGCTGATCGAAATCATCTTGTATTTCTTATGTGTTAAATTGTAGTCTCAAGCAAATCTCTCCATGTTATTTTCTGTTCTAGTGGTCTGATATTCGGTTCTGGTGGTCTGATATTCGGTTCTGGTGGCCTGATATTCGGTTCTGGTAGTCTGATATTCGGTTCTGGTGGTCTGATATTCGGTTCTGGTGGTCTGATATTCTGTTCTGGTGGCCTGATATTCGGTTCTGGTGGTCTGATATTCTGTTCTGGTGGCCTGATATTCGGTTCTGGTGGTCTGATATTCTGTTCTGGTGGTCTGATATTCTGTTCTGGTGGTCTGATATTCTGTTCTGGTGGTCTGATATTCTGTTCTGGTGGTCTGATATTCTGTTCTGATGGTCTGATATTCTGTTCTGATGGCCTGATATTCTGTTCTGATGGCCTGATATTCTGTTCTGGTGGCCTGATATTCGGTTCTGGTGGTCTGATATTCGGTTCTGGTGGTCTGATATTCGGTTCTGGTGGTCTGATATTCGGTTCCTTATTGCTTGTTTGGTTGTCATATTCTCTCCTGCTGCTCTGTACAGTCCTACCATGATGTTTAAGACAAATATGCTGAATTCATTCATGAAACACAAATGTTATGAATATTCATGTCTAACCTCACAAGGTAGCAAAGCTCTAAATCATATTTCAAACGATACTGCGCATAACTGTGACATAAACGAGTGGATAGGCTTGTCACTTTTATTGCTGAGTTGAAAGAAAGAAGTTTTATTTTGCTTGAAATTACTGTAAATTTTCATGCTTTTTTTCAAACTTAACCATTACTTTAAGCCTTTGAATGATAAATGTATTCATTTGAATTTGTTCATTCACAATATGTATATTTAGTGAATGTCTCGGTGAGCGTCTGAAATATATCAAAATGAAAGTTCATGTGAAGGTCATAATTCTTTCATGCATATAGGCCATATTAATTTCAGACCCACTCTCAGTTTGTTTTGTTATGTTTTGTTACTTTTGAGGATGAAACGTTCAAGCTGTGTCAAAGTTACTGTAACTTTTGTTTGCATATTCGTCTTTACCCTTTTTGTTTTTGACCTTCAACACAAATCTTGCAAATACTGAAGTAAACTTCAGATGAGCTAGAGAGCCTTGTGTTTCAATGTTTGAGATTAACTTTCTATACTACTCAACGTTTGATAAGGATAATTAGATATGTCATTCTGCTGTAATATACACTTGACATATCAGTTTTGTGTGTCATGGAAAGTAGGGCTGGGACGAGTCCATGTGGTAGAGCGTCGGCCCGGAGAGCGGAAGGTCCAGGGTTTGATCCCCGGCCACGTCATACCAAAAGACGTTAAAAGATGGTACTTGTTGTTACCCTGTCTGGCGCTCGGCATTAAGGGGCTAAAACAATGACTGGTCGGCTCGGAGTCAGTATACTGTGTCTGAGTGGGGTATTCATGTTAAACTGCGGCATGGTATCTCAGTGAGCTAGCACTATAAATCGGCATCAGTCCGGACTAGTACAAGCAGCCACACACACGTACATGCATGTCGCTATATAAGTGCAATAATCTTGGACGCAACGTTAAACCCAATTTCACCTCACCAAATTTACTTCCCGGGTACCCACCCTCCTATTACCCGACCCTACCCAGGTACCCACTGTAGGTCTTAGGAGAGATCTCAAAATGTCCGATTGGGAACATTTTTAGCATAGCCCTGGCAAAACATATTTAGATACATGTATTAAATAATCTGGCCATTCATACACTGAAGTTGAATGAAGTTCTATCTTTATTCAACCATATGAAAAGTCAGAAGGATTGGGTGCATTGTCAGAAAGAAATGCGAGCATTAGTGACTTGTAGTGTAACCATAGAGTTCTAGATAATGTTTGTCATTAAACAATATATCATGTGACTAACCACGGGTCCGGGTAGTCCTGTGGGTACCCAGGTATTACTCAGTACCTACCCAACCTGGGTACACGAGTTACCCGTCCCAGCCCTAATGGAAATATATAGAGGTTATCACGCGAATGTGTTTGGGGATGGTAAATATCCTGCAATAGGAATAAACATTGTATTTAGCAAGCCTTGGCGAGCAAAATACATAGTGTTTATTCCTAATACAGGATATTTACCATCCCCAAACACACAAGCGTGATAACCTCTTTATCATATAGTGTCATTCTTTAATCCTGTGCTTCAAAATCGCTTTCCCTCTCTTACAAACATTACCGAAACATTGCGAGTTTTCCTGGAATGCACGCATTAATATTTATTACGCCACCATTTAAGTGATGTGTCAGTCGGACAGTGACAGTAGCCAATATAGTTCCAACTGAAATCTCTTTCTTATACAGTGGCGAAGCAACATATACGCAAAACAACAATTGTTTTTAATTGCCTTTCGCGGCAATCCATTGGTCTGTCTGCTAGAGTAACTGCCCTTTGTCAAAGGGAAGCTACTCTAACCCTAGTCTATGAGACGTCACGGCCACGGTCAGACGTTGTTGACAGTCGGCCTAACCTGTCATAACGTTAAGAAGTGTAGTCAGATGTACACACAGCAACAAAAAGAAACAAGGTAACAATTCAAACATATTTCGGCCAAATCCAACTATTAATTTGTGGAGCAAGCCGCAGAGGTCTACAAGCACAGATATGGCTACTGATCCTGCTTGGCTAGGCCTCGTGCCCTCGCAAAATTGTGTCGAAATTTATATCTCCAAGTTACCAAATAATGCCTTAGCTATGTCACAGTAAGACACTGATTTTCAGTATATTAGACTGTTTTTTTGATAATGAAAGCAATTATCTCTGTAGTTTATCCAGATTCCCGATGGTTAAATCTGACTCGATCGCCGAATGACAAGGGCGACGCCATGTTTGTTTATAAACAGTGAAAGTAGTCCCTACTTGACCTTTGATATTTGCATCTCTATCCGCATATGACCCCAACGGATATCGTTTTTATCCGTTGTCTTTATCCTGCCGAGAAACCTACCTATTATATGATAAAAACAGATATCCCTAAGCAAATGTAGAGAAGTTAATGTATATCTCAGGAGAATTTTTCTGACAAATGGTTGGTTGAGATTGAATCCCAGGGTCACTCATTACGAAATACCCCCTTGTGCATTACGGTTTAGAATATAGGTCTGTAGCAATCTTTGCTTGTCTTTAGCGGCAACTAACTTGATCAGGTGGTCAGGCTCAGTGACCTGCATGGCTGATGGCATGTCGTCATACCCTGATGGCCTGGATGCTGCTCATGCTATCAATCACTTGCTTGTCTAGACTGGTCACAATTGTTCCCTGGCAGACTTGAAATAGTGCTGACTGTGGGATAAATCAACAAACAAACATCAAACTGCAAAAGTAACTTAGTTGTAGACAAAAGCAAATAATTTTGTCTGAGGAATTATTACTTGACTGTGCACACTTTCTGATGACTGATTTTATGTGTTCTGTACCTAAGGCCACTTTTTATACCCCGACCTTTAAGGTCGGGGTATATAGTTATACCAAGGTTCCATCCATCCGTCCGTCCGAAAACTTTGTCCACGCGATTTCTCTTAAACTATTCAGTAGATTCATCTCAAACTTAGTACATATAATCTGTGTCATATGGAGGGATGCAGTCAAAAGAAAAAAATTGTTTTTATTAATTTTCCATTTTTTTATGAATTTTTCAAACCCGAACCCTATCCATTATTTAATTTGAAACTACTGACACACTAGGCAGGTCGGGGTCATTAGTGAGCCACGCTCACTTTTGCCCTTGTTTTATTTTATGTTTCACCGATTTATTCCAGCTTTTTCACACATGGTTGGTCGAAATAAAAATAAATATAAATAGCTATGTCAATTATTTATTTATTGATATGAAAGTCATTCCGTCGTGAAGTTAAAACTGCAGGTGCCCCTCATGTATCACTGATAGTGATGTAGATATGGAATTTATATAACAGATTACATTGTATACGAGGGTCTATATTACTTGTGGGAGACATAATAAAAATAAATATATCATGTTTAATATTTTCATGACCAGCCGCTTTTCAGTAGGGGCGGCAGACCCATGAAGTGAAAAATAGAAAATGAGTGGCCTTGCTAAAGTTTGTACACAGTGTTAGAAATTGAGGGGGTCATGTATTCCTTGAGGTCTCCTGCTCTGGCATTGGTAATCTGGGGACTCCTAAATCTCCAGTTTCCATATTGGTTTTGCTGGATGTCCTGACAATGAAATAAGTAAGGTCCAGAGAATAAAAAAACGCTGGTACTGTTTCAAACAAATATGCTCTCAAGCCCCACCCTGACACCTCCTCGGATTATTAAATGGTCAGTCCACCTTAGGTCTGTCTGTAGGATTGTACTGTCTGTAGGATTGTACTGTCTGTAGGATTGTACTGTCTGTAGGATTGTACTGTCTGTTTGTGCTTCCAGGGGCTGTGAACGGTCGGACATCTCCAAGCACCTGCTGATACACCAGGACCCCAAGCATGTATGTGAAGTGTGTGGCAAGGCGTTCCGCCATGTGAAGAACAAGGAGCTCCACGTGAAGAGGTAGGCCTGACAGTAGGGCTGGTCCCTGTCACTTCCCCTCCACCACCGTGTCACTTACTACACTCTAGTTCCGTGTTGGTGGCAGTGCCTTACACCCAGTGCTTGCATTAAACACCAGCAAATCTCCTCATGAATTACGCTCTTACATTAATCGCTCTTTATTACCTTGAGTGATGAGGACAGTCCTCTGCTGCACCTACAATAAATAATTTGATTTACGGAGACGCCAACTTCAAAGCATGGCTGAAGTAAGAATTCTTAGCTCAGCAGGACTAAATGTCTTTACAACATTGTCTACATTTCTTCATAATTTTCTTTGGATGAGTCTGAAACTTTAAGGTGATGTTGAGTGCCATAATATGAAGAGTTTGGTTTAATGCTGATTTGAACAGTATTCCTGTTATGTCACGGCGTGTCAGCTTAATGTAGGAGGAAAGCCCAAGTGATGCTGGTCCATGTTTACCAGGATTCAAACCCACAATCATAATTTTCTGGCATGCCCAAGGGACACAACTCTGCACAGCAAATTACGGTGCCTTAGATGACTGGGCCACTGGGGTTTGGTTCTTGGTTGTGATAAGTTTGGGGTTGGGTTCTTTTTTAAAGAAACCAAAATGTCTCGAGATCTGAATTTTTTTATGGAGGAAGCAACACAGTTGGATTTTGATTTGTTTCATGTGAGATAAAATATAATATGAATAAAAATCTTTAAGAACCATCTCCTCAAAACCAAACACAAAGGGTTTTGATTGTGGATGTGTATGTAGCTTAGTAATTTATGTGGCTAAAGGCATGCAACTTTGTGTTTCTAAATTGTACTACTTTGGCCATGTGTTTTCCCAAACTGGAAGTGTTGTCGTTAAACCAGAAGTGCATATACATGTTTCTTATTCTGGTAGATAGAGACAAGGGACGTAAGGAACTTTTCTTTGTACTGCATGAACAAGAATAGTCATGTGTTTTCACAAACCAGATGTTTGTTTGTTTGTTGTTTAACGCCGCACTCAGCAATATTCCAGCTATATGACGGCGGTCCAGACAATCCAGTGTTTGACGTCATGAGCATCGATCCACACAATTGGGATACGATATGATGAACCTGGAAGTGCATATAGTTTTGATATTGAGGTAGATAGCAATGTGGGACTTTCCATATTTAGGTAGAAAAGAACGTAGGACTTTCTTTATGAAGGTAGAGTGACATGGGACTTTTGTATGTATCCTCAAGAGATTATTCAGCAGAAGCGAACACAGACACCAGCACTTGACTCACTGATTTGCAGATCTAAGAAATATTTCCTGAACTTGTCAGTACTCTTTTCATTTTTAAGTACATGAGGCAGGCAGAGCATGTACTGTTGTGTTGGTCATCCATCCCCTACCACTCCACCTCAGTTAAACCGCTGATCGTCTATAACGCTCATCAATTATTGGGACCCCAAAGGTAGCGTTGTAGCGAGGGGTCACTGTATGTGTTTCGTTAATTCCATTAGTATAGACACTTCAACAGTTATTGGGAATACTGAGGCAAAAAAATATTCTTTTTAGTTTTACATCAGTATATTTAAGATGATAATACCAATTAAATTGCTTATGACCTTTATTCATTTATTCATCATTCAGGCATTTTGGAAATGCAAAATAACACAAACTGTGAGATCTCAATTGAAAAGAAAATTAAAAGGGCTTTAATTATCACAAATGTATTTTAAATTGTTTTCATAATAGTTGACACTCCCCCAACTGCACTGAGGAAAGTTGAAATATTTCATACAGACTTAATGTTTTGACCCCCTACATGTGTCAACATGTGTCATAATGTTTTCACAGGTAATGGTCAGACCCTTTTTCAAGTTTGTAAAAGAATTACATGGATATATATGTAAAACAAATGTATTTTAAATTACTTACATAATATTTGAAGTAAAGGATTGAGAAGTGGGCGAGAGCAGTTAAACAAATCAAAAGCATTGTGATGTGAAATGGCATTTTTCATGAACTTTTGAATTACTTTTAAAAGGTTTGCTATTTCTGGACTTAGTGTGTATGTGAGGGTGTGGTTTTTAAATGTGTATTTCTCTGTTGTTAGTTGACAGTAAGTACACAGTGGGTCTCTATAGCCAGATCAACACGACACAGCTAATCACACGTAATGCCAAATGTAAATATTTTGAGAAATTTTCGTCCACATTTGGGAAATATTTTGATATTTGTATTTCACCTCCAGAGGGGTAGTTCGCTAGTTCACTCACATGGCGTAAATTGACAACACATTTTGACCTCCTCTTATGAAAGTCCTATTTCGAGATTCAGAAGCATGTGAAAAAAACACCGCCATGAGGAAACAATCTTTATTACTTCCCCTTTCTTCTGAATATTGAGAAGTCAGCAAAAAAGTCAGTTTTGGATAAATGAGAAATATAACTGTATATAATGATATTCGTTCACATTTTATGGATCTAAGAAATAAAATAAAAAATCAAACTTATTTTTAAACGATGAATTTGATTGAAAAATTGTAAGATCTAAATGAGAAAAAATGGAATGGTTCTGAATGTCAAAGGTACTCCCTAGACGGGAAGTATCAACTTTCCTCTTTTCCTCTTCAGATGTCAAAGTTACAATTATTTTTTAAATAAACAAATTACCATTTTATTCTCTAAATAACTTGCTATGGTGTGAGTGGCACCAATCACTTCAAAAACACCCATCACTTAAATTATTATGATCCTTTTTCAATTCAATATTTCACCAAATATTATTTTGGTTTAGATTGTTTTGGTTCAACAAGGTTATTTTTTTTCAATTCTACTTTTTATTGGTATTTATTACAAAATCAAAGGTATTTGAATTATTATTTGGGGACACTAATTATCATTTCTAGACTATGGCTTGTTGTAGTCGTACATGATCGGTCATTACCGGTGCATATTGTACATCCTGGCATGTGATGTCGATCATACTGGCCGAGTGACCATTTCCTGCTTACTTACTAGCCATTACCTGACCTTTGATGTAACCTTTGACCAATATGTCACTTCCTGTAGGCGGAGATGGACGCAATATGACCCAGTGCTTTACATTTCATGTGGCCATTTTCACCCTGGCAAGCCCGGTAGGAATGCTTACAGGTGTGAGAGGCTGTGTGTGAATGTGTGTGGATGGTTAACTCTCTGACTCGAGGCTATCAACCACCAGCTTCTTCTACATAGGCTGGTCTTGTCTGGCATTAATACCGGACATTTGCGAGGTTTCCACATTAAATGGCACTGTAGTTGAGTCGGGGTCCAAGTTGCACATGAGGATAGTGTTAGTTTCTTTGTTACAGTTCCATGTAAACAGTGCAGGCTTGGCTGCAGATGGTGGGCATAAGATGGGCAGTGAGGATGTCACAATAAGTTTAGATAATTCTTCTTTTAAGGGCTCAGGAATTATCAAAGATTCCAAACAAAGTGCCCTGGCAGGAGAATATGGGAAAAAATGTTATTTTGTCCAAAATTGAAAAAAAAAAAATTAATTTATTTTCTAAAATTCTTAGGTATTTTAATGTTGTATTTTGAGACTGCATTCAATATACTATTGTAAAACTACTGGGAAGCATTCAAAGCCTCTTCCTCTTCATTGGTATCTCTTTGTTGGTTATTATTCCTGATACTCTCCTTTGGAAGTAACTGGCAATACATAAAGCAAGGGTATGTTAGATTATTCTCATAACATTTGAAGTACGGAGGGAATTGGGCAGGATCAGTTATGAAAAGCAGATTTTAACAGTTTGATGGGATTTGGCATTTGGTCCTACATTTAGATAGTTGCAAGTCATGAACGACAACTGTACTTCGGACTTCTCCCTGAACAGAAACAATTACCATCTATTTTGAAGCTATATGGTTCCCTTGGTTCTGATGCTGACTTCATCATTATCACAGTCTATAATATTTTCATTTCTGTTTAATTACATAAAGAATTGATTACATCTCAAAAGTTTCACAGCTATTTGTTTTCAACCATTGTATATATATATGACACCAGACAATGCTTCTTCTTTTTTAAGGTATGAATTATTATTTATCATATTTAACATTTCCTACCAGAATATGATGTCTGTGGTTAATTATGTTTTGTTTTTGCTGTTTGCTATGAACATGTTTTTTTGGCTTTCAGACACAACGGTCAGAGAGACTATAAGTGTGGTGTGTGTGATTTCTACGGGTACACCTTCACTGATATTCGTAAACACATCGAGAGGAAACATGCTGATATCAAGACCTTGGTCTGCGACAAATGTGGTTCCGCGTTCAAGTCCGAGGCTCTGCTGAGGGTAGGTGGCGCTCTGAGGAAGTCATGCACATGTGTCGCTACTTGGGGCGTAACATTGAACGTGATCGTGATGGGCCAAAGGTGCAGAAACTATTTGCCTGGGTCCTAATCGGCATTGTTACGAGATCGCTATTGTTTTGGTTACGTATTGCTTGAGGATTAAGAATGTTAGATTTGCTCTTTTTGTTTTGAATTATTCGCTGATATTTGATAGAGACATAACAGGTGGTAAATATAGGAGGTTATTTGTGCAAACAGTCGGTCTCAATCACGGTGGTGAATACTGTATTCATGTTGTTTCTAGTGGACGCAGATTTCCTGGGTTGCCCACTGATATCATGTACCACCCCTGCCCTCTGAGGGGAGAGTCCTAACTTGTCCCTGACCTACGGGCAGATGAAGCACCCCACCCCCTCCCAGGCAGGCAGAGTTCTTTCCAGCCCTCTCACCCAGGGGAAGTCATTACAGCCCCTCTCCCTCAGGGAGAGTCATTACAACCCCTTCTCACCCAGGGACAGTCATTACAACCCCTTCTCACCCAGGGGGAGTCATTACAACCTTTCTCACCCAGTGAGAGTCATTACAACCCTTCTCACCCAGGGGGAGTGGTTACAACCCTTACACCCATTAAGAGTCGTTACAACCCTTCTCACCCAGGGGAATCGTTTCAACCCTTCTCACCCAGGGGAATCATTACAACCCTACTCACCCAGGGGAATCGTTTCAACCCCTTTTTACCCAGGGGGAGTCGTTAGAACCCTTACAGACATTAAGAGTCATTACAATCCTTCTCACCCAGGGACAGTCATTACAACCCTTCTCACCCAGGGACAGTCATTACAACCCTTCTCACCCAGGGGGAGTCATTTCAACCCCTTCTCACCCAGGGGGAGTTGTTGCCTCCCTCCTCACCCAGGGATTATCAATACCATTCCTGACCCATCTATGTCTTTGGTGAACCTGACACTGATATATGACTTAATTAATAAAATAATCATCAGTTGGATAAGAAGATGCTTGAAGAACCATCATTTCAATTGAATATTCAACTAATAAATTCTACACTTGGCACACACAGTCTCTGAAACTGTTACTTTAGGGTGGCCAAAGATTTACTGATCTGAGTGTCATCTGTGTTTTTGTCAAGATGAAAGGAAAACTGATGAGTTGACAATTTTTTGATAAAACCATACACGTTTGAGGTTAGATATAAGAAAGAAAAAATTTAAATATAATTTCTCAGAACTGTTTCAGATTACAAGAAAACTTATGATTTTCGTATTTTTTCCTTAAATATGTTGAAACGTAAGATACAAGCAGGGAGATTTGATCGTGATCTGCAATAGCTGTGCAGTTAGGGTAATGGGTTTGTGAGGCTTATGTTGAAGGAAAGTGATGAGTCGTCACATTCTATCACAGCCGGTATAATCTCTAGTAAGAATGTCCTGGACAGGATTGGATGACAGTTCCAGCTGCCAGCCCTTTGCAGACTCAAGTGGAGTCTTTGTGCATGTGGATATTTTGTGAATTTCATTGACAATTTTTGTGTTGAAACAAATCCTGCAGAAGAGCATGCCACGTGCTGAGAGGCCTAGACAGCCAATCAGCTGCTCAAGACATAACACCACAAATAGGTTTTATAACTAATGAATTAAGAGTCTGTCGGTTAAGTTACAAATCGGGCAAAATGTGCACATTTGGTGTTTTCATGCTTTCATAAACTGGAGATTATTACATTGCAATAGAAGCCAGTGGTGCATGGCAGGTCTGGTGGAGATATATATGGAGGGCGTAGGAGGGACAGCAGGGATGTCTGACAGAGATGTACAGAGCTGACAGGGAGGGTAGGGGTATAGGGACGGTAGGGGGACAGGCAGGTCTGGCAGACATACAGGGAGGGTAGGGGGACAGGCAGGTCTGGCAGACATACAGGGAGGGTAGGGGCACAGGCAGGTCTGGCAGACATACAGGGAGGGTAGGGGGACAGGCAGGTCTGGCAGACATACAGGGAGGGTAGGGGGACAGGCAGGTCTGGCAGACATACAGGGAGGGTAGGGGGACAGGCAGGTCTGGCAGACATACAGGGAGGGTAGGGGCACAGGCAGGTCTGGCAGACATACAGGGAGGGTAGGGGGACAGGGAGCAGGTCTGGCAGACATACAGGGAGGGTAGGGGGACAGGCAGGTCTGGCAGATGTACAGGGAGGGTAGGGGGACAGGCAGGTCTGGCAGACGTACAGGGAGGGTAGGGGGACAGGGAGCAGGCCTAGCAGGGTCATACAGGGAGGGTAGGGGGACAGGGAGCAGGGAAGTGCAGAGACGTACAGGGAGGATAGGGGACACCAAGTGGGGAACTCATCCCCCGGCAGAGCTGCTTTCAGAGGGGAAACAGAGCACTTGAAATAATATACTTAGGCTGTGAATTGGAATTTTAGGAGAAACATGAAATAATTATTTTTTAGTCTAAGGAACATAAGCCTGATATAATCCCAGCTTGTTCCACAACTTTTGGAAGAAGAAAAACTGTAAAGTAATATGGATGTTCAGCTTAGGATATTTCAGCTATGCAACATTCTTAAACAACATATATTTGCCCAGCTGTGTAGAAGAACTAAATGTTGATAGAAATGAGATGAACTCCCCATCAAATAAAGGCACTATCAGGCTACATTTTCTGATCAGTTCATCAAACTATGACCTTGAAAAACACAGGTCTACACTCCATGGTGTTCCACCCCTACCCTTGTAAAGCACAGACCTTCCATGGTGTTCCACCCCTACCCTTGTAAAGCACAGACCTTCCATGGTGTTCCACCCCTACCCTTGTAAAGCACAGACCTTCCATGGTGTTCCACCCCTACCCTTGTAAAGCACAGACCTTCCACGGTGTTCCACACCCAACCCTTGTAAAGCACAGACCTTCCACGGTGTTCCACACCTACTCTTGTAAAGCACAGACCTTCCACGGTGTTCCACCCCTACCTTAAAGCACAGATTTTCCATCTAGTTCCACACATACCCTTGTAAAGCACAGACCTTCCACGGTGTTCCACACCCAACCCTTGTAAAGCACAGGCCTTCCACGGTGTTCCACACCTACCCTTGTAAAGCACAGACTTTCCACGGTGTTCCACCCCTACCTTCAAGCACAGATTTTCCATCTAGTTCCACACATACCCTTGTAAAGCACAGACCTTCCACGGTGTTCCACACCTACCCTTGTAAAGCACAGACCTTCCACGGTGTTCCACCCCTACCTTAAAGCACAGATTTTCCATCTAGTTCCACACATACCCTTGTGAAGCACAGACCTTCCACGATGTTCCACCCCTACCTTAAAGCACAGATTTTCCATCTAGTTCCACACATACCCTTGTGAAGCACAGATATTCCATCTAGTTCCACACATACATTTGTAAAGCACAGATTTTCCACTTTGTTCCACACATACCCTTGTGAAGCACAGATATTCCGTCTAGTTCCTTACATACCCTTTGAATGTTATGATAAGGAATTATTTTACTCTCTGACTTTTACTGATTTCAAAAGTTAAAAATATTATGTCTCATGTTCGTTATGTATATTCACTGCAACATCTTGATCAAATTGAATGTTAATGAATGCATTTTCTCACTTAGTATAACTAAAACCTGTGATCAATCGTTTTTCAATTGAAGTGGATATGATCAGAGAAATATATTAATTATGTATCATGTAACCATGACCCTGTTGATGAATGGCTTCATGACTTGCCAACAGGACCACCAGAAGGACACCTGCGAGGTGCTGATGATAGAGCAGGCCCTGGCTATAGCCACATCATCAGGGGGCACCAGTCAGGCCACAATCCAGATCCCCTCCACCTTGTCAGTGGATGGCAAGCACATCACTATTGATGGACAACAGATAGCAGTGGATGACGGCCAACACATCACTATTGATGGGCAGCAGATTGCAGTAGATGGAAGTCAGGTCAACATCACTGTGGAACAAGTCATGACAGGTAGGAATTTGAACCTTTAGTTTCTGATCACCCCCCAACCATTCCAGAAGCTGATTCTTGGGGTCTGGAAAGTTTGCCATGACTAAATGATCTTCTGCGGATCTTTCTCAAGGACAGTTTCCAGGAGTATGTCAATCCATGGAACGTTTTGCAGGAATATGTTGCGTCCTGGAACTGTTTCTGTGTATTTGTAGTCTACTGGACCTGCTGGCATGAGTGTATGATTTTCATGTCATCCCCAAAGAAGTTTGCATATCAGTATGTAATGCCTTTGGAACTGATTCCATGCATAACATATCTCCCGAAACTGATTCCATAAGTTTATCCCCTCAAACTGATTCCATGAGTTTATCCCCCGAAACTGATTCCATAAGCTTATCCCCTGAAACTGATTTCATGAGTGTATTCCCTAGAACTGATTCCATGAGTTTATCCCTTGGAACTGATTACATGAGTGTATCCCCTAGAACTGATTCCGTGAGTTTATTCCCTGGAACTGATTTCATGAGTGTATCCCCTAGAACTGATTTCATGAGTTTATCCCCTGGAACTGATTCTATTAGTTTATCCTCTGAAACTGATTCCATGAGTTTATCCCCTGGAACTGATTTAATGAGTTTATGCCCTGGAACTGATTCCATAAGTTTATCCCCTGGGACTGATTTCATGAGTTTATGCCCTGAAACTGATTCCATGAGTTTATCACCTGGAACTGTTTCCATGAGTTTATCCCTTGGAACTGATTCCATGAGTTTATTCCCTGGAACTGATTCCATGAATTTATCCCCTGGAACTGATTACATGAGTGTATCCCCTAGAACTGATTCCGGGAGTTTATTCCCTGGAACTGATTCCATGAGTTTATCCCCTGGAACTGATTACATGAGTTTATCCCTTGGAAGTGATTCCATGAGTGTATCCCCTAGAACTGTTTCCATGAGTTTATCCCCTGGAACTGTTTCCATGAGTTTATCCCTCCAAACTGATTCCATGAGTTTATCCCCTGGAACTGATTACATGAGTGTATCCCCTAGAACTGATTCCGGGAGTTTATTCCCTGGAACTGATTCCATGAGTTTATCCCCTGGAACTGATTACATGAGTTTATCCCTTGGAAGTGATTCCATGAGTGTATCCCCTAGAACTGTTTCCATGAGTGTATCCCCTGGAACTGATTCCATAAGTTTATCCCCTGGAAGTGATTTCATGAGTGTATCCCCTGGAACTGATTCCATGAGCTTATCCCCTAGAACTGTTTCCATGAGTTTATCCCTCGAAACTGATTCCATGAGTTTATCCCCTGGGACTGATTTCATGAGTTTATGCCCTGGAACTGATTTCATGAGTGTATGCCCTGGAACTGATTTCATGAGTGTATCCCCTGGAACTGATTCCATAAGTTTATCCCCTGGAACTGATTCCATTAGTTTATCCCCTGGAACGGATTTTATGAGTTTATCCCCTGGAACTGATTCTGTGAGTTTATTCCCTGGAACTGATTCCATAAGATTATCCCGCGAAACTGATTCCATAAGATTATCCCCTGGAACTGATGATGAGTTTATGCCCTGGAACTGATTCCATGAGCTTATCCCCTAGAACTGTTTCCATGAGTTTATCCCTCGAAACTGATTCCATGAGTTTATCCCCTGGGACTGATTTCATGAGTTTATGCCCTGGAACTGATTTCATGAGTGTATGCCCTGGAACTGATTTCATGAGTGTATCCCCTGGAACTGATTCCATAAGTTTATCCCCTGGAACTGATTCCATTAGTTTATCCCCTGGAACGGATTCTGTGAGTTTATTCCCTGGAACTGATTCCATAAGATTATCCCGCGAAACTGATTCCATAAGATTATCCCCTGGAACTGATGATGAGTTTATGCCCTGGAACTGATTCCATGAGTGTTATTACTTTTGAACGGTTTCCATGATGTATTCTCCCCTCAGTTCTGTTTCAAGAGCTAATGAAAGCTTATTTAAAACAATACTATCTTATGCAAAGGAGTTGAACACATTTCAAATTGTGAGAACATTGTCCACATAAAGTTCTCAAAGCTATTCTCTGCTTTGTTTGTTTGTTTGTTGGTCGACCGCCTCTGTGGTCTAGTGGTAGAGCGTCCGCCCTGAGACCGGAAGGTCCGGGGTTCGATCCTGATGGTACTTGTTGTTACCCTGTCTGGCGCTCGGCATTAAGGGGCTAAAACAAGGACGGAGTCAGTATACTGTGTCTGAGTGGGGTATGCATGTTAAACTGCGGCATGGTATCTTAATCGGCATCAGTCAGGACTAGTACAACCAGCCACACAAACACATACACGTACATGCACGTCTCTATATAAGTACAATAATCTTGGACGCGACGTTAAACCCCATTTCACCTCACCTCACCTTGTTTGTTGTTCAAGCCACAGTGAAACTCACCAGTACTCCAGCTATATTACAGTGGTCTGTAAATAATCCAATGACTGACATCATGAGCATCAACCCATGTAAATGGGATCCAGTGACATGCAAACAACCCATGTTATAGAGTCTGACCACCTGATCCAGGTAGTTCTCTTACAACAAGCATAGGTTGCTGGGGACCTCTGTTCCTACCCAGCATGCTGACAAGTGGGCTGTGCTCACCATGTTGATTTATTAGGGTGCCAGGGGCCAGGGGCAGTCGGGTAGCCTTGTGGTTAAAGCGTTTGCTCGTCACGCCGAAGACCCGAGTTCGATTCCCGACATGGGTACAATGTGTGAAGCCCATTTCTGGTGTCCCCCTCTGTGATTTTGCTGGAATATTGCTAAAAGCGGCATAAAACCATACTCACTCACTTACTCACTATCAGGGTGCCAACACATGATTGAAGTGAACAGTTATTGTATCAAATGAATTCTGTGGCAAATGCATGTTTGATTCTGTAGCAAATGGTCCTATAAATTGATTATTTGATTGGAAATCTGAGAATCTGAGCACTCCTGTGAAAAATCTTTCGGCTTCCTATTGGATTTAGTGTTCCAAGCACTGTAGCCCATGGCCAGTACAGTGTCTAGTGTGGGAGGCCACTAGTGGGTGAGAAACAAGAGTTTTTTTATGTCATTAAATATATTGTATATTTATGACGTGTGATTCTCCACACTATGGGAGGGGTGGGATAACTCAGTGGTTGTTGATCTGTTCACTCGCACACCGAAGACCCAGGCTCCCGAATGTGTGAAGTCGATTATCAGTGTCACCCAAAGTGTGGTAAAACCTTTCTCATTCCTTCACTACCTCATTCATACTATGTGTAAAGAGAACTTCACAATCAAGCTACCAAAATAGTGCTTGTACCAGCAGTCTTCAAACTCGGTTACTGCTGTACAACATGAAAAGTCCAGGGCCCCGTTCCACAGAGTGATCTTAGCACTAAGGTGATCATAAGTCCCATACTCTAACATGGGTTTACGATCATCGTAGCGCTAAGATCGCTTTGAGGAACGGGGCCTGTCAGGTTTATCATGACTAGTAAATAGTCTATCGAGTAGAAGACAGTGTGGATAATGAAGGAGTTGTGTTCTAATGCCGTTGTAACTGAGTGGCAAGAGATTGCCTCCGTTTTAAGTCAATAAAGCATCTGCTCGGAGAGTGGAAGATCGGTGGTTGGATCCCTGGCTCTGTCATACCATAATACGTTATAAGATGGTACTTGTTATTTCCCTGCATGTTACTCTGCATTAATAGATAAAACAAGGACTGGCTGGTTCGGTGTCAATAAACTGTGTATGAGTTGGGTTTTCGTGTTAGAACTGTGGCTTGCTATCTGGCCTGGCACTATAAAAGCGGTGCTAGAACAAGCATATGCACTCATGCACACATGCACATGCATGCACATTGCACTTTCTTGAATAAGTGCAATAATCTTGAACGCCACACCTCACCTCACTCAGTAGCACAGAACAGCATTAATATTCCACTTGTTGACCTTTTGTCATAGTACAAGGGTTATTTCCCTTTGACTGCTAGACCCACCCACAAACTGTAGGGACTTCCTGGTAATATGACATATACTTATGTGCTGTGTCAGGGGTGAAAAGTGCTTAATCAGCTAATACTACAAAAGCCTAATATTCGTAGTCTGTGAGAGAAATAAAAAATACAGTTTACAATGTCCCTGATTAAATGCCTTCTTTTGCTATCTATTTTCTAATGGATACAAAAATGCATTAAAATATGTTTAATACAGTTCATTTGAGCAATGCAGATAAGTGTTTTAGATGTTTTAGTTTTTTAAAAATATGTTCAGTTAAACTTTTTTTCTGTTGGCATAAGTAGTATCACTGATAATCTGATTGGAATATTTGTTGATGGATGTCACTCAGAAAGAGCATTGCCATGATAGATGTAACCCTTATTTGATATTCTGCATATGAATTAACAAAGTTCTTTGTCATCAAACCTCCATCTAGAACTGATACATGTTCCTGCCACATAATCCTGCTACATAGACATACACTCGAGAGCCCTCCTGAAGTCGATGTTGTCAGCTTTACTGCCTGGTGCTGTGTAAGAGTGTTGTAGCTGACGGGGTTGGGTGACAAGTGCATCCTGTCATGTGTGAGGGAGGCAGACTTCACGGCCCACCCTGGCCATGTCACACCAACAGGTTAACAACTGCTTCATGAACCCGGGATGATCAGTGACGTGGTTGGGAGGCAGACATCACGGCCCACCCTGGCCATGTCACACCAACAGGTTAACAACTGCTTCATGTGTCCAGGATGATCAGTGACGTGGGTGGGAGGCAGACATCACGGCCCACCCTGGCCATGTCACACCAACAGGTTAATAACTGCTTCATGAACCCGGGATGATCAGTGACGTGGTTGGGAGGCAGACATCACGGCCCACCCTGGCCATGTCACACCAACAGGTTAACAGCTGCTTCATGTGTCCAGGATGATCAGTGACGTTGGTGGGAGGCAGACATCACGGCCCACCCTGGCCATGTCACACCAACAGGTTAATA